CATTCTGCTATGGGATGCTGACTTTGTAAATGGACGCTTAACTTACCACACCACCTTCACAGTTATCTTCAACCTGCAGGCGCAAAGAGGAGTAGGATTTTTTTTCCCATTATATGGAGGGGATGGAGGCTTGAGGGCTCAACTTATTTGCTTATAGTCACATGGTGCCTGGCTGAACCAGTCTGAATGTGAACCCAGGTTTTCCAGACCCTAGGGGGTCTCTGGGAAGTTGGGGTGCCCTTGACTTTCTCCTGCGCCCTCCAGCGAGAGTGAGGCCTTGCCAGTGCTAGGAACAGCCTCTTTAGACGGCTTTATTTGCTTTCTTTTATGTGGTCTGTTTTAACTACAATATTTCATTTAAATATTCAAAAGGATGCTGACAGATGGAGGAGGAAAATAGAAAAAAAAAAAAAAAAGTGAAGGAAATACGGCTTCCCTGAGAAAGCCAAGCTGCATTTGCAGATTGTAAACAGTAAGACTGGGCCATAAAAACCTCATTAAAGTGTCAGCATTATGCTTTTGCACTGCAGGACTGAATAGCAAATCACACTTGCCCCATTATTTATGGCTTATCAATTATACATTAGCTTGGCTCCCAGGAAAGCTGGCATTCAGAGAGGAAGGATCCCTTTGTTTGACTGATTCAGCCCTCAAAGGGACAGCACCAGGGCATGGCTCCTTGCATAGTCATTTGGTAAAGACCTGTGAACAGGAACTCCCCAGGGTCTGTTGATTTTTCCCTCTTACTGGTGCTCTCTGTGCTCCACTGCTCCAAACCAGTCCCTTGGGCTCAAACACCATTTCCCTGGGGAAGACTTCGTTAGGTAAAACTCAGACTCTTCTAGTTAAAAGTGTGGAAATGAACATGTGTACACACACACACACACACACACCACACACCACACCATCACACACACCACACACGAGGAGGCAGGCAGGTGAGGGTTTCAATAACAGCTGCATCTAGGTGCCAGTGCTCATGTTGGGGAACTGTCTTTCTCAACACAGGGATTTTTTTTCCCATCCAAATTGGCTTCATCCTCATCAAGCTCTCCTCATGCTTTGGACCAGCTGCATCTTGCAATGAGCTTGACCCTAAAGCTGACATAGGTTTTATAGATGGCATTCCTATTGTCTGCAACCCTCAACCCCTCACAAGTGTTGAGTCACCATCCATACCTGACCAATCACTGTGGTGAGTTGGGGGAAGGAGGAAAGGAGAGTTGACTTTCCCTGTCTAGGTCCGGGTTATGTGATCCCTCTGGTCTTCTCTTGGTGGAACTCCCCCAACCATGTGGCCTGAGAGTGGTTGGGCGGGCGGGATGGTGGGGTGCGATCTGAGAGATTCTTCTTCTATTAGAAGACAAGGGATTTGGTGCCGGGCAGGCAAAAATCAACAGGGACCTAAGATGTTGAGTCTTACAAGAGTGCTAATGTCCAGATATACTTGATCTACAAGGACAGTAACTGACACAATTCAAGTTGAATGAATCCACCTGACTCGGTGTGGCCCTCTTGTAACACACTCTAATAGACTCAATGGTCATTTGTTGTGACACCCACCACCCACTGTACAGTTGCCAATGTCAGGCAGTCTGGAGGTTAGTTCAGTGTGTGGCTATGCCTGCCTGGTAGGCCTTGAATGCAGGCTTCAGTTATCTCCCAGGGCTCTGGGAGTGGGGTGCACTCAAAGCAGCCTGCCTTTCTGAATGGGGCTGAACTGGAGCTAACTTCCCCAGGCTTCTTTTGCCTTAGCATAACACCTGCTCCAGAAGAGGAAGTTAACTGAATGAGGCCTCATGTCTCAACAAGTGTTTATTGCTTTTGGGAAAAAATGCAAAATCATTAAAAAAAAAAAATCCAAAGCACAACATGTGTTTCAGGGAGTAATTAAAACCAAGATCTGCTGCCAAACCAGGGAAAGGAGGTAAAGACACCATCTGATTACTGTATAAGCACCATGCCAGCCTGTGCTGTGCACCCTCGGCTAACCACCAGAGATTGCGAAGACAAGGAAGAGTCACACCATTCTATGTGGGCCAGGCGGATGCACTCATGCACACACATGTGGATGGTGTTTGTCCGATGGAGAAAGAAAGCATCTTGGATGCCTGGGTCAAGTATGTGGCTGTAACTAGGAACCAGGAGTCAGCTCAGTGGCCCCGGAAGCCTCAGTGAGGTGGCTCGTGGGATTCCATGGATGCAGAACTGGCATAAGCCTTGATTGGCTTTTTGTAAGACTGGCATACATCTCCAAGACACTAAGACTTTCTACAGGAAATGCTGGGAAAAGGGGGAGAGGAGAAAAGATCTCCTTTGTTTTCAGCATTAGGGAAAATAACAACTTTAAAAAATTGCTTCTATCCTATTTCTGCTTTACTGGGGTTCTAGAAGTATCTGTATGAGACTAGTGGAGAAAAAGGTCAAGGTCTAGGAGAGAGAAGGGCTGAAAGGAATTTGGTCAAAGTCTGGTCAAGCAGGGAGTCTGTGTGGCTGACCCCTGGTGCCCTCTGCCTGCACACAGTCCTTCATTGCATCGCTCCAACCCCACCAGGGCAACGCTTTCTCTTCTGCCAGGCCCTGCCTCCTTGGCTCCCATCTTTTCTAGAATGTCGGAGGGTCAGATGTGTGCTCGCACATCCAAAATCCCCTACACATGGCAGGGGGGCACACAGAGGGTTAGTTTTTCTACCTACCCCCTTACCCCCAGCCTCTCCACTCCTTGCTACGAACTTGTTTTCTCAGACGGGTTATACAAAGCTGTCAATTGCATCCATGGCTTGTCAAGGGACCTTTCATAGAGTATTCAAATCCTCGTTTCGGGCTGAGACAAACATCTCCATTTACAGATGGCGAGGCTTGCTTGCCATCGGCCAGAAAGTTATTGAATTGCCCAGGACAAATGTTGTTTTGCTCTTTCCTCAGCTAGCATGAGCTTCCGGTCCAGAACACAGAATGCATTTTTCGTGTTGTCTTCTCTTTCTTTTCATCAAACAATGCACGGAGTTGCTACAGAGAGAGTGAGAGCAGCACAGAAGTCTGTACCGTGAACACCGAGCGTCCTTACCTCCTGTGTTGTCTGATGCATGTTCGGAGGGGTGGAGGGTTGAAGGGTTTGGAAAATAACTGTGTTCTTTTCTCCTTTCCAGCCTGAATGAATCTTGGACCCACTGAGAAATAAGATTGACATAGACAAGGTCAGGTGCCCCTTGTTAATGATAAACTTGCTTTTGGAGCTTGTGTTTTTACAATTCTGAGCAAGTAGGATATTTTTTAAAAGTTTGTTTTCATCAAAAAAGCATATCTTACAGAGAGAGGAGAGACAGAGAATGTCTTCCATCCTCTGGTTCACTCCTCAGATGGCTGCAACAGCCAGAGCTGAGCTGAGCAAAAGCTGGGAGTCAGACACATCTTCTGGGTCTCCCACACGGGTTCAGGGTCCCAAGGCTTTGGGCCGTCCTCTGCTGCTTTCCTGGGGCACAGGCAGGGAGCTGGATCAGAGGCAGAGTGACTGGGTCATGAACCAGAACCTCTATGGAATGCTGGAGCCAGAAGGTGGAGGATTAGCCTGTTGTGCCGGCAGACTAGCCCCAAATACAATTAAGAAAAAAAATGTAGTTGACTTTTATTTGGGAAGCAGAATCACACTCACAGAGGAGAGATGAAAGAGAGAGAGAGAGAGAGAGAGAGAGAGAGAGAGAGAGAGAGAGATCATCCATCCACTGGTTCACTCCTCAGAGGGTCACAATGGCTGGAGCTTGGACTGTCTGAAGGCATCAGCAGTTTCTTCTGGGTCTCCTGCCTGGGAGCCATCTTCCACTGCTTTCCCAGGCATGTAAGTAGGGTGTCAGATCCTAAGTGCAGCATCCTGGATTTGAACCAGTGCCCACATGGGATGCTGACACTGTAGACAGATGCCCAACCTACTGCACCAGAGCTCCAACACCCCTAGAGTTAGATAGATCACCACTTAGGCACTGGTAGGGCACAGAGATTTGGCCACCAATCTCAGACTTAGCCCATCTGGGGGCTCTGTGTGGGTGGATAAGCTTATCTAAGGAAGTTGAGGGGCGGGATCAGAACTCAGGTCAGTTCCTTATTTCAAAGGCTTCTCTCTAGGAGGAAAAGCTATTAACAGCTGCTGTCAGCCTGGGGCTAATCATATGCAGAGGCAGTGAAAGTGTGTATTCCCCAAGCACTCCCATCGTGGAGTGGAATTCGCTTCTGCCCTGCCAGCCCTCTCTGTCAAAAGGATATAGCAATACCTGCAGGTGTAAGGGACAATCAGTGAGCTGGTGTGCTTCAAGTGACTGCGCGAGAGAGGAGGAATGGGAGGAATGGGAGAACCGAGTAGGAGACAAGAAGGCCTTGGACCGGTCAAGGTCAGCGCAATCCCCAAAGGCTGGAGTTGCACCTGGCTCCAGCTGGTATCACTTGCTCATCAAAGGCTCCCTCCAGAGATGCCGCTCCTGAGGAGAATCTTCAATGAGCGCATCTGATTTGGGTAAGATAGAACAAGCTAAGATGGGCTGCCCTGGCGCCTGTCCACCTTGGGAGGTAGGATGTGACTGGATATGTTGTTAAGGGAATGAGACAGCACCGAAGTTGCGGGCAAGCCTATGTGGCTTAGGTCCGCACACCGTGGGCACAGCGTCTGCTCTGGACTCCAGGGAGAGGGCGGGTTCCACAGCTGGGCAGAGCCTGCAGGAGCAAGCTCTAAGCCCCTCTCCTGCCTCCGCCTCCTCCTCCGCCGCCCCCCCAGGCCGCCCCGCTCCAGCCCGCCTCCTCTGAGTGGACCAGCGCCTGCAGGGCAGGATCTTTATCATCAGGGCCCCGCAGCGTACTGTGTGCACAGCCACAGAACTCGCTCCAGGGTGGCCCAGCCATGGTTCCTCTGTGCTTTGCAACCGCCTGCAGCCCGGGACCGTGCGCGGGGCGCTGAGCTCGCCATCCGGCCCAGGCGCACCTGTCAGCTGTTGTAGTGGAGCGCGTGGGGCACCATGCGCCCGCTGTGGCTGTTGCTGCTACTGTCGCTTCTTGCCCGAGCTGTGCACACGGTGAGTACCGCGCCCTCCGCGGGCAGGGGGGAAAACGGCACGACTTGTCGCCCACGTCTCTGGTTCCACGCGGAATGGCGGTGGCATTGGAGGGAAAGGAGAAGCCGTTCTTTATCTGCTAAGTGGGAACTTTTGCCTCCACCGTACTCCAACAACAGAGGGTCTCTGTGATTTCCAAAGATCCCAGTGGGATGTGCTGTTTCTAGTTGGTAGTTCCCGGTTTACAGGAAGCCCCTCACCCTCCACTCCCTCCCCTGAGCCTCCCAACCCCTCCCAGACAGAAATCCCACACAACCCCTCCCTTCCCCACCCCTGCACCTTTCCGAACACAGATCCCCATCCACAATTTCCAAACAACCAAACCAAAGCTCAGAGAGAAAAACTTTTGAAAATTGTGCCTCTAGGATTGGAACTCCTATCCCCTAGCCTACCCCCTTCGCCTCTCTCTCCCCTCCCGGCCTTGACATTTCCTGCGGGGCTGGGACACCCGTGGGAAGACCTCCAGCAGCCCTGGCTCCGGAGCCCCCGGGTCTGGTGACTGTCCCTCCTGTCGCCCGCGGGACCTGTTGCTCCGCTGCCTCTCCTGGGCAGTTATGGTGGTGGCTGGGGGTGGGGTGTGGGGGTCGCTTTGTTTTTCTTTCCCACTGAAACCTCTGGGGAGTCCTGAGCTTCCGGCCATGGGGTTTGTGTTAATGAGAGAGTGGTTGCCTCCGCAAGGAAGGCAGGAAAAGGTTGAGGCAGGGGTTGACGCCAGGGGTCGGGGAACAGGGGGTAGATTCTGGAACCGTCCCTTCTTTCTTAGCATTCCAATGTGCGCACACTTGCCTCCAGGCCTCTGTTCCAAGACCAACTCCCAGTGCTATCTACAAGCCCTTGATCTGGGACTCATTCTGATGGCCCCGTCACTGTGCGTCCCGTCCATCCCGTCTCCTGCCTTTTCACTCCAGTAACTTGGGAAGATGCAACTGAGGGCTCACTCCTCCCAGCTCCCCCGCAGGCTTCAAGCCTCCCTCAGTGACCCGTGCTGGTGCTAGACCCATTGCAGCCACCTCCAAATTGGAGAGCTGCCCTCTAGGACCCTGGGGGCTAGCTCAAAGCAGGACACAGACATCAAGTGTGTTATTCCAGGGCTGAGGCTGGACAGTGGCTTTGGGGCCTCTCCCAGCCTCTTCTCTGCCCATAAGCTGCTTACCTGGGCTATCAGAGGAGACAGAAGTTGAACCAACATTCCTTTTCCCAGGGGACTTGTGGGTTACCTCTGGAACCCGCAGAGGGAGGAGTGAGAGACTTGTCTGGATTCCCAGCCACCCGTGCTCTGTGCATCAAGCATGGTGGATGTATGACATTTTGATGCACTCTATGCCTGTGTGATTATAAGATACTTTCTTGTGCATAAGATTACCCAGCTTCAATCAGGCCCAGGGTTGTGTTGTGGACTTTCTGGCAGAAAACTGCTTTAGGAAAGAGCAGTGGAATCGAATAAGCTTTTAGATTTTTTGTTTTCTACGTATTTCATTTGAGAGGCAGGCAGGCAGGCAGGCAGGCAGGCAGGCAGAGAAGACTCCTGATTGCTGGTTTGTCCCCCAGTGATGGGGGCTTTGTCCCAGGTCCAAATGGGAAGCTGGGGACTTGATCCAGATCTCCCAGGTGGCACGCACCTAGTCACTTGCGATGTGATTGTTTTCCCAGGGTCTATGTTAGTGTGATATTGGAGTCAGGAGCCGGAGGGGCAATGTACCCTGGTACTGCCATGTGGGATATGGGCATCTTATCCACTGGTCCAAATGCCTACTGCTCAAATAATTTTGTATTCACTTGGGACTTTCCTACTAAGGAAGATCACAGGCTTCTTCTAGACGAGTGTGTGTGTGTGTGTGCGAGTGTGTGTGCGTGTGTGAGTGTGTGTGTGTGTGTGTGTGTGTGTGTGTGTGTGTGTGTGAGTGTTGAGGTGGGGTGGTTACGCAGCCCCAATTGCTTCTTACTAACCCCTACAAACGCCTCTCCCTAGAGGCAGGTGTCAGATGGAGTGGTGCTAAAACTGTGGTTTAGCAGGTATCCACTATGGGCTCTGGTTCTAATTCTGATCCGGTTGGTGGGCTGCTGCTTGGAGAATAAGGCGGGTTCCTCCAGGCAGATGCTGTTGGGAGTGGGAGCAAGATCCTTTCCTGCTAAGGAGGCTGTGCCATGCCTTGGGCACTGCCTGGCAGTATCACTGGGCTCTACTGGATGGCAGCCATAGCGCCTGTCTGATGTGGTTACAGTAACGAGCATCTCTAACCCTGTCAGGTATTCTCTGCAGGGTGGTGGAGGGCAAATTGTCCCTGGCTGAGAACCACAGGTGTGCATTGGTACAGGGGCATTCACAGTGCTGGGTTCGGGGCTGCACTCTGATGCCTGTGACAAACAGGCAGACTGCAGACTTCTGTTGGGGGCAGTTCCTGGATCTCTGGCACCTTCGCTTGCTCTCATTTCTTTTCCTACCTTCACCCCTACCCCAGCTGATGGCTCAGAAACCTAAAATCTTTAGGTATGGGATAAGGTGCAAAGGAGCCTCTGGGGCACAGTGTTGCCTGTCCCTGTGGTAGAATCTCTCTCTGTTTCTGTGATTCAGCCTTTCAGATAGATAGATAGATATTCTTTTAAAAGATAGCACAAACTGGAGAGACCAGTTATGGGGAGAGAAGCATCTCCCTTTGCCTCCCTACCCCACCTGGCCCCCGTTGGCACCCCACTTCTATCCATTTCTGCAGAGGGAAATTTAGCCTCTCTCCCGGGCAGCCCCAAAGATGTGCTCAGATTTTATGCCTAGCATCCAAGGTCTGATAGAGCATCCCTGCAGCTGCCCCTGGCTGGCTCCCTGCCTCTGCCCTGAGCCCCACCCCCACCCCCGGGGAGGGCGTTCTCACCACTGACTTCCCTTCAGGCCCTGGGGCAACTGCAACCTCTGGCCAAAGCCACAATGCTCAGATCCCACTTACTCTGGGGATGAGCAGAACCTGCTCCACCCTGGGAGGACTTGGGAAGTGAGATTCCCAAGGGTCTTTGGGGGAGGTCTTCCTGGCCACCATCCCGCCATAGCCCACCTGGCTTCCTTACCCAGGCTCTCAAAGATGCCCTCTACCTCATACCTGACTGCCTCATTCCCTGTCCTTGCCAACACACGGGGTTTGGTTTCAAATTGTTGAGGATTTCAAGGATGAGTTTTCCTCTAACCTGCACAGCCCCCTGGTATTTGGGTCTAAATGGCCGCTCTGTCCCCTTCCTGCCTGTTCATCCTAGCCAGCTGGGATCATCACAGGCAAGCAGCCTGGGCAGTTCAAACAGTGTAACTTGACGTTCTTACTTTCTGGAGGTTGTAAGTTGTAAGTTCAAGATCAAGGTCTGACAGGGGGATGGGGGTGGGATTCCGTGTACTTCCTGGCATGCAGGTAGCTTTGTCCTCCTCAGGTGGTCTCCTGGGTGAGGGAGCTGTGCTGGGGGAAAAGGGGAGCATTTGTTGGGGATTCTTTTTGCAAAGACACCGTGATCAGGTTCAACCCTCGCAGCCACACTCAGACTGAACCCCCTCCTTGTGGGTCCTGCCTTTGCATGCGGCTGCGTTGAGGGTCAGGGCTTTTATAACTGAGTCTGCACTCAGTCCATTCCCCCATTTGGAGCTGGGGGGCTCTCCTGCCCGCTGCCCATTCCTGTACCCATTCCAGCCCGCCTGCATCTTCCGGAGCTTCCTCTGCAGGTGATACCATCCCAGCCACCTCGTTTGCTCTTCACTCGCCTCCCTTCTACCGGACTTTCCCCATCAGCTGTCTAGCTTGCTGAAGTCTAACCCAGCCTCTGGCCTTCTGCATCCTGACCATTCTAGCCACCAACCCAGGTCTGCCCCCTGGTGGGCATTGTCTTCCAAGTCTATACTTGATCTATTTCCCTATGAGCAGTCTCACCAATGACCGGCATTTTTGTCATAACCACCAGCACTTTTACAGCATTTTGTTGTAAAGATGTAAAAAGCATTGTAGAGTGGGCCTTGTGGCACAGTGGGTTGAGCTCCTGCATGTAGCACCTGTGAATCATATTGATGTCTGTCCAAAGCCTGGTAGCTCCACATCCAGTTGAACGCCCTGCTTGTGCATGTGGGAAACCCAGATGATGGCCACCCAGGTGGGAGACCCTGATGGAATGAGAAAACAGAAGGCCTCTGTGTATGTGACTCTCTGTCCTTATCTCCTTGGGATTCTGTTTTTCAGATAAATAAATAATCTTTTAAATGTGTATATATTTAGGGGTCAGTTTTGTGGCATAGTATATTAAGCCACCACCTGTAATGTCAGCATCCCATAGAAGCATTGGTTCTTATCCTGGTTGTTCCACTTCTCATCTAGTTCCCTAGCAATGTGCCCAGAAAAGCATAAAATGGCTCAAATGCTTGAGATCCTGCATCAGGGTGAAGCTCCTGGCTTCTGGCTTTGGTCTGGCCCAGCCCTGATTTTTGCAGCCATTTGGAGACTAAACCAATGATAGAAGATTTTTCTCTCTCTGTCTCTCATTCTCACTTTCTCTTCTTTTTATGATGCTCTGCCTTTTAAATAAATTATCTTTTAAGGACTAGCTTTTTTCTCATTCTTATTTTTCTATTTTACAAGTTTGCAAGTATAAGGCTTCCTTCCTCCCTCCTCCCAGTCCCCGCAATCCTCTTTTCTCCCTAGGGACCAGCTTTTAAGCTGTCACCTGTAATGCTGGCATCCCTTATGGGCATTTGTTTTTTGTCCTGGCTATCCTACTTCTGATCCAGCTCCCTGGTGATGCACTTGGGAAAAAGGAAGCTGGTCCACATGCAAAGGCCCTTGAACCCTTGGCTCCAGGCTTCTGCCTGGCCCAGCCCTGGTTGTTGCAGCCCTTTGGGGAGTGAACCAACAAATAGAACATCTCTCTCTTTTTCTATACTTCTTTTCTCTGGGAACTTCGCCTTTTAAATAAATAATCAAATGTTTTCAAATTGTATATATTTAAATAAAAAAGCATGATGGTTCATTTATATATAGAAATGCTTACTACAGTCAAGTAAATGAATATATCTGCCTCCTCTTATAGTTGCTATTTCTTTCTTGCAGTGAACACACCTGAGATCTATTCCTTTAGTAAGCTTCCAACAAGTACACAGCGTTACTAACTCTAGACCTCAGGTCACACGTTAGAATTTTAGACTTAACACCTCATGTAAATGCAGTTTTGTGTCCTGTATCTGCTAGCCTTCTGTTTCTATAATGAAACACCTGAGGCATGTATGTATAAAGAAAAGAGGGTTATTATGACTCAAGGTTGGGGAGGGCTAAGGTGTCAAGGTCTTACATGCTGATAGCCTTCTGGTCAACCACATGGGAGACCCACGTGTAATTCTGAATGCCTGGCTGGGCGCTGGCTATTGTGGGTGTTTGGGGAGAAGCAAGCGAGAGAATCTTCTGCCTGCTAGTTCACTTCCCAAATGGCTGCAACAGTAGAGTTCAGGCCAGGCTGAAACCAGGAACCTGAAAACATTTCTGGGTGTCACACATGGGTGCAGGGACCCAAGCAGTTGATCCATCCTGGGTTGCTTTTCCAGGTGCATTAACCAGGACTGACCAGCTACCTCCACGTAGAATCCTGAGGTACCACTGTGATGTACAATGGATGAAGTAAGAGCCTGTGCATCTTGTGGTCAGCAGGAAAAAGGAATGGTAACTTACAGTCCCTGTAAAAGGCAACAGACATATGAATAATTTTGAGATCTAAATGTTCAAAAAGCAGAACTTTGGTGTCCTGCTGGTTGATGCTCCAAACTGAGTTCACAGGCTGTTTAGAAGTCTGTTGTTTTTATTTCCAAGTGTCTGCAGATTCTCCTTGTCACTGGTTTCCAGTGTGATTCACTGGGTCCTGGGTTCTGTAAGGACCATAGGAGCTCAACTCACTCATCCATTCGTCTGTTCATTCATTCAGTTTATTAACCAGGTCTCAGGCAGCTGTGGGATAACAGGTGTCTACTCAGGGACAGAGGGGAAGCCAGGGCCATGTTCTGGTCATGCCTCGTCCTGCAGCTGCGTTTACCAGGTTTGTATTCATGGTGTCCGCTGAGGGACAAGGAGACGATGAAGTGTAAGTGTCGAAGCACTGGCATGAATCAAAACTGTGATTAGCCACGCAGATGGAGTGGCCAGTAACCACACTGAGGGAGCCAGCTCTGTTCAGGCATCTCCCAGGGGCGGGGCTCTGCCTCTCCCACTGTTGTGTCTCCTCTCCTGGAAGCCCAGTTCTTGGTGCAGTGGGGACAAGGGAGCGACACTGATGGACATCCTCATTCTGCACCTGCAGGTGGGCAACCTGCCCCGACTGTGTGACGTGCTGTGGGTGCTGCAGGAGGAGCGAGACCAGTGTCTGCAGGAGCTCTCCAAAGAGCAGCCGGGAGCCCTGGATGAGGAGCCACTGGTGCCAGGTACGAGGCTTGCCAGGTGCTGTGTGCACCTCTGCATGTGAGACACATCCAGGCTCACTGGGTTGGGTGGAGCTTGGACTCTGTGTGGGATGGGAGAGGAGGGCTGAGCTTACCGTGTTCAGTCATTCAGCTTGGATTGGTGTGGAGAGAAGTCAACACGTCCAGGCTGTGGCTGCTCTCCTTTCCTCTGGGCTGAGGACGCGGCCAGCGATTTCCCACCCCCAGATTCTGCGTGTGGATTTCACTCTGACATTGGTTTGTCGGCAGTGACTTTGCCAGGTCACGTGTCACCCATCCCTTCTCTCGTCTCTGCTGTGTGAGGCAGGAGGCCAGGCAGTGTGGGGGTCAGAATAACACTGGCCTCTGACATACAACCTAGAGGTGACTGCGTCTGCTGTTATATTGTAACATTAAGTGGGAAAAGTGAAAGTGCAGGTGCCTTGTAAATATTGTTTATTCCATTGTAGATCATAATCAATCACCCCTAAATATTACTGATTTAGTATTTACTTTAAAAAATATTTATTTACTTTTTATTGAAAAGTCAGATATACATAGAGGAGGAGAGACAGAGAGGAAAGATCTTCTGTCTACTGATTCACTCCCCAAGAGGCCACAACGGCCAAAGCTGAGTCAATCCAAGACCAGAAGCCAGGAGTTTCCTCAGGGTCTCCCACACGAGTGCAGGGTCCCAAGGCTTTGGGCTGTCTTTGACTGCTTTCCCAGGCCACAGTCAGGGAGCTGTATGGGAAGCGGGACTGCCAGGATTAGAACTGGTGCCCATATGGGATCCTGGCATGCGCAAGGTGAGGACTTTAGCTGCTAGGCCACCATGCCAGGCCACTTACTTGTTTTTAAAAGATTGTTTATTTGAGGTAAGAGTAACAGAGAGAGGTTAGTGGGGAGACAGATTTGCCATCATCTGGCTCACTCCCCAAACGGCTCCAGTGGCTGGAGTGGAGCTGCTTTGAAGCCAGGAGATTCATCCGAGTATTCCACATGGGTGCAGGAATCCAAGGCCTTGAACCACCCACCTCTGCTTTCCTGAGTACATTAGCAGGGAGCTGGATCAGAAGTGGAGTGGCCAGGGCTTAAGCCAGCAGTCTTATGGGATGTTGGTGCCACAAAGCAGTGGCTTCCCTCGCTATGCCAGGGCACAGTTCCCTGATGTATTATTTAAATGTCATTGTTATGGCCTTCCCTAATTTCTATTCTTTGCTCTGAATCATCTGAGAGTAAGTGGGGTGTAACATTAAAAAAAAAAAAACACCCCAGCAGAAGTTCCCAATGCATTTGGACATGACTTTCATCCCAACAGCATTATTCACTATAGCCAAGAGGAGGAAGCGACCCTCATGCCCATCGGCTGGTGAGTGGAGAGGCCAAAATGCAGACAGTCCTGGACAGACTGACAATATGGTGATAAGTCCAATAAGCCGGACACAGTTAGCCACTTCGGTGGTTCTGCTTACGTGAGATGCACGGACGAAGCCAATCTACAGGGACACCAGTTGGACTGGGTTTGTCAGGGGCTGCGTTGAGCGAGGATGGGAGTGGATGCGTGATGCACGCAGGATTCCTGTTATAGGGGTGGTGAGAACAGCTTGGAACTAGATAAAGGTGAGGGTTGTGCAATGCTATTTCATGAATGCACCAGACACTGCTGAACTGCACAATTTAAGCTTGATTGATTTGGAAGGCAGAGTTAGAGAGAGAGAAGGAGACAAATAGAGAGATCTTTCATCTGTTGGTTGAGTCAAGTCCAAGTCAGGAACCAGAGCTCCACCTGCATTTCCCACTTGGGTGGCAGGACCCCAGATTTAGGGGGGAAGGGTTATCCTCTGCTGAACCCCAGGAACATTAGCAGGGAGTTGGATCGGAAGTGGAGCAGTCATATGGGATGCTGGGCAATGCGGGTGGTGCTTCAACGTCCTGTGCTACCATACCAGTCCCAGAATGGTACATTTTAAATGGTAAATGATTATTTATTTTAGCTCAAACCAAAAAAATATGAAGAAAGAAAGGAGGAATGGAGGAAGGGAGGGCGAAGGAGGAGGAGGCAGACTTTTAAGTTAGACTGTGCTGTCTGGAACTAGCTACTAAATAACCCTGGGCCTCAATTTACACATCTGCTTAATGGGTTGACAAGAAATAAGCTTTGATGCAAAAACCCATGCAGTGAGCACTTGGCAGAGCCAGGTGAGCAAGAGGAGAGCATAAGTGGTGAGGAAGAAGGAGGACTCCCCGCCCCCATACACACATTTAGGAATGGGCTTGGCAGTGTGTGGCATGGCGGAGGGTACTGCCCTTGTCCCAAGGAAGGTGGTTGGAGCATACCACCAGGACGGGCACAGAGTACCAGGTGTCCCTGTTGGCTTCATGGGCACTTTCTGTCCTCAGGGTGGATGGTACTGCCCTGCTGCACCTGCAGACGGGAGGGCAGGAAGGAGGACAGATGGGGAGCCTGACTTCCCTGGGACCCATCTGGGTTGGTTTCCTACACTTCGTTCCCAGTCACAGGCTGCAGTGCAGGCACAGCTGGCTGCCTTGTGCTAACCGGGTTCTGGGAGAGACAAGAAGGGAAAGGCTGTGGGTGGCACCGGAAGCAAGTGTCCAGAGAGAGAAATGTGAATCAAACCTTTGCAAATTCATGGAAAGCGACGAAGGTATGAAGATGCTAGGCTGCCCCACCCTCACCCAGGTGTAGAACTGGGGGGTCTTGATCTGCTCTGGGCTTCCACCGGGGGGGAGGGGCTTTCCCAAGTGTGGGATGGTTGAGTGGAGGTCTGAGCATGTCTGGGAGTTCCAGGGGCCGCGTAGGAAAGGCAGAGCATAGGATGACCCCAGGTGCAGCAGGGGACGGGAGGGCCTGTAGTGGGGGAGAGCTGAGTTAGTGCACGACTGATAGGTTGGGGAGCTGAGACTTTGAAAGGGCGAAGGAGGGAGGGAGGGAGGGTTGGGGCTGATCTTCTGCGAAGGTGACAGGTGTGACTGAGGGTGCACCAGGCGAGAGGGTAGCAGGGGAGCCTGAGATCTAGGAGAGAGCCTCCAACAGCCTCCATCGTGAGTGTGTGTGTGTGTGTGTGTGTGTGTGTGTGTGTGTGTGTGTGTGTGTGTTGCAGATGTGTGCTTGCACCCAGGCAGCCCTCACCTCTGGGAGGGACCGGTACGTTTCCTTCCCTTGCTGGCTCCCAGCGCTGCGGGGCACTTGCCCCCAGGGAGGGGCATCATTTAGAGGCGCCTGACGCACATCACCCCCACCCCAATCCCCCACCATGTAGCCAGCCATGGAGACTGTGTCTGGCCCAGCAGAATGCAAGGTGCTGACAAGGGTAGCCTGGGGTGCAGCTAAGGCAGCCCCCAGGAAGAGGGCCTAGGAGTCCTGAGAGAGAGAGAGATGTGGCCCCAAGGACAGGGAAGGAGCCGAGGCCCTGCCTGTCACCAGAGCGGGCTCCCAGGCCTGACCCATGGGCCGAAGTGATGAGAAGAGACCGCACCCCTCTGCTCCCCAGCTGGCCCATCCGTGCATCGGGGTCGTCCGCTATGGACCTCGTGATGCTGGTGTGGGTCACAGGGAACGACCCCTCGTGTGTGAAGGTGGGAGTCTCAGTGCGACAGGGAGCTCCTCTGCTGGGTGTGTGTTGTGGGCTCTCAGCCCACTCGCACACTCATCCACTCATTCCATCAGTGCCAAGTGCTCATTTGCATCATTCGGCTGGGGGCACAGCCAGCTGGCCATGCCCAGTCCTTAGCTGGCTGACCGCAGAACAAGGCTGGTCCATCCTTTCTCCTTGGGGTTTTGTCCTGAGGCCCACGGTCCTGCATGGTGTACCCCGGGCTCCTTCGGGACTCCAAATCAAGCTCCATCTCACACTTTTTTGGGGGGGATCAGGTGTGGGGGTGGGCGTTGATTATACCCCGCTCTTCTAGACTTCAGGTTCCTTGAGAATAAGGGGGTGTCCTGGATTTGCAAGTGTTCGGAGATGTTTGATGAGGCCCTGGCAACAGAACCAAGGTCAGGGAAGGGACAGGTGTGCTAGTGGGTGACAGGCTCCAAGGCTTTGTACCACCCTGGAGCCAGCTCCGTATCCCTTCATACGGACAGAATCACCCACGGAGGCCAGCCAGCACTGCACCTGCTCTGGGCCCAAGCTGGGGTGACAGCAGCTGGGAGATACTCTGCTGGGGGTACAGGTTAATGGTTAAACACTTCCCCCCCACACACTGCTTCCTGTGTGGGGGTTAATGTTTGAGCCCCAGATGGTGGGCAGGGCATTGGAAACACCACGCGTCACCGAGTTGCCCAGAGCCCGGCACCCTGACCACAGATGAAAAATTTGGCCGCTCTAGGTTGTGGCCTACGTCCTCCTGGCCTTTTGTAGAAATGTTCTGGGGACACCGGCAGAGCTTTGTTTATGGAAGCTTGTACCCTCTGGCTACCGGCTGGCGTATTAGGGCTCTCCGGCTCTTCTCAGGGGAAGGAATGTTCCAGAAGGATGCTGTGTGTCCTGGTGATCAGACAATGCCTGGATCTGTGTCCCGCTCTCTCTCGGCTGTGTGTCTCCACTCTGGGCATGCTGTTCCCTTGTCATCTTGTCTGTTCCCGACAGTCTCCCCTTCCTAAGGACGGGGTGTGGTATCGGGGGCGTCCTGGTCCACCTTGACACTGCAAAATAAAGACCAGGGATCGGGCAGTGAGCACTCTGCTTCCCTCTATCCAGACACCAGCTGTTTTCTGTCCCTACAGAATTTGCCTCATCTGGACATGTCATCAGAACAGAATCATATGCTCAGTGACCTTCGGTGTCTGCCACCTTGCCACAAAGCTCCTTTCTCAGAGCCAGCCAGTGTGGCAGGAATCAGTTCTTAAAAAAACAAAACAAAATAAAACAAAAAACAGAGCCTGGCACAGTAGCCTAGCAGCTAAAGTCCTCTACTTGCATCCCTGGGATCCTATATGGCCACTGGTTCTAATCCCGGCTGCCCCGCTTCCCATCTAG